AATGGACCTAAGATGGTCGCAATTACTATTATAGTAGAACAAAATTAGAATACCTTGTAGCTCTATGTCATTAATGATCCCAGTCGAGACCTCCGTTGTATCAGGAAATGCCGACGCATCATCCAAGCATGATCCATAGTTAGAGCTAGTGGGGTTGCCTTACATACAAAAAATGTCCACACATATTATTGCTTATTTATTAAAATAGTTCTTACCATAATGGTTAATTCATTATAGCTTACCTGATAAATGAAGGGTCTGTGCATGTTCAACTTGTACGTTATATTGTTTCTTCCGCCGATAGGAAGCCCTCCTCAGGGCGTTTCTATGGTCTCTCTTGCGTTCTTCTTCCGTTTTAAGCTCTGTTTATTGGGTGTCTTTGAAGATTACATCCCCGAATATTACAGAATAAAACAGATACACCCACGAAATTGGTGGATGAGTAGGCACAATACGATTACCTTGATGCTCAGAGTCATAGATGAATCCAGATGAGACCGTGTTTGAACACGGAAATGTCTCCGAGCTGGTGGGGTTCCCTAGTGAACCAGATTTGACCATACATATTTATGCTAATTGGTTAAGACGATACCGATGATGATAACATTCATGTAATTATCTCTAAATCGAAATGAGAAAACACAACTTGACAAAATATCTACAAAGGATAAAACACAACCATGTAAATGGTGAGATAATATTACCTTCTTTATCTCCAACACAAAGGACATCCGATGTGACCATCACATTATCTGGGTATGATTGATCGTTAGGCGAGACTGATGTATAGTCCGAGCTAGCTGAATTATATGATTCAACAAGCTTGGTCAGTACTTATTTAAATTACGTAATAACTGACTAACTTCGTGTGAACACAGCACATACGGGGTGTGGATCAATTTACCAACCATGATAATCTCGTGTGGGTTTAGTTCTCTCCCTATCTTCGAGCACATTTGTGATATCACATAAAGACTGGCGACGGGCAGACTTCCCATTGAGTTGTTGGTTACCCAAACCATCTGATATCTTATTGCGATAAGCAGCCCGCCTACGAGCGTTGATAAGATCCCTATGATCTAATAAGCAACAAAAAATGATCATAATATAATCTCTTAGAACGGGATGTAAGCACAATATTCACTACTAAGCAACATACGTATGCACATCAAACTAAGAGTATCCATCAACCTTACCAGATTTTGCAAGTACCGGCTGATTCTCATTTTGAAAGCTGGTAATATCCTCATTTCGTTTAATCCGATAAGCTGCACGTTTCCTTGCATTGTACTGCTCCCTTGCATTTTCAGCGTATATTTTGCATTCACTATTTAATGATACAGTTTCATGATATTTGGAAGTTGTGTCCTCTGCATTTTAAAATACAAATAAAAATACAAATAAAACAACGGTTGGGAAGGTGGATATCATGCCTATGGATACCTTGAGTACTATCTCGTAGCTGCATCTTATGAATTGCATGATCGAGTGTTAGGTTGGCCGTAGATGCAAATGTTTGACCATCATCATGGTACCCAGGCCTTACACACGCTGATCCATCTGTACTGTTTAGTAAGCATGAATACAAATTCAATATTTTTCTGGTATGGACGCAATCAACCATGTACCTGTCTCCATCGTGTAAAAAGGGTCAACATTTGCAGCTATGGTTACGATGCTTGGATTACCATCATTCAGTTCTGTCTCGCTCGTAGGTGCTGCAAGACATTAAGCATGGTACAAGTCATGGTTAGAATTGCACATCAGGCATCACATTACAGTATTTTCCGCACTTTATATACCGGGTACAGTCGCGCAAATAGCTTCTACTTTTTCATCAACGGGTATTAAGTCTGGATTGTATTCTTCAGCATTTTTTACGCTCGTATGATCTGCAACACATTATGCAAAAAGCTTAATATTAGCATAAAAGCAAGTATTCCTAGTACAGTGAACACTACCTGTAGCTACAACGTCTTCTTGTTGATGTTCACCGCATTTGCTTCTTGCATTACCCATTCGCAAATGAAATGATCGCTACCTTCGATGTTTCTATGGCTGTGGTGTTTTTGAGGCCTGGGAGAAACACAAAAGCTACAATGATCGGACATGGATGCAAGAGAGAAGGGGAACTTGAAGGCATGAATAAGAAGGTATTTTAATTCAAATATATAGGCTTATCGTCATACAGTACATGTTTATGCTCATTGCACTCAAATATATAGGCTTATCGTCATACAGTACATGTTTATGCTCATTGCATTCAAATATATAGTGTAATTGTTATTGAATGATCAACAGTAATTCTTATTGGTCCTTTCTTAATTTTCTTAATAATGCATCTTGGCCAGGCCAGCCATCCACCTTTCATGGTGCTCACACTGGTCACCTTTCGGCTACGGCAAAGTATCCACTATAAACTGAGGTATTTCCTTACATTGCATCCCCAAGACCAACGCTTTTCTTGATGATCCTTAGGTGTAAATGCACCAACAAGGTGATAGTACAGTTTCTGATTCTGTACTCTAACCTTATAAACAAGTTATATGTGATGATCATTGTTGTAACAGTTAATGATTCTTACGCTTGCTGCACTATTTGATGCAAATTAGTTTTCCTACGCAACAGCTAGGCAACAGCATGGAAAATGCACTTTCTGGTTGTTTTACAGCTAGGCAACAACTATTGTATGGTGCTTTCTCATTGTAACAATACTTGGTTTTATATACCTTCTCATCTGTATGGTGACACGATAACTATTCTCTACGATTCGTGACCTGCAGTCTTGATTTGTGGCTGCCAAGTATTTTCCATGCCTGTGTGTATGTGATGGCCGTGTGTATGTGATGGCTGTGTGTATGAAATACGGTGGCGGATCTGTGATACCTGAAAGGCGTGTACCTGGCAGGCGCTGGCTCGTGAAAGGGATAGCCGGCGCCACGTCCTGAAACTGCCCAGCGTCAGGTCCTGAAGGGGGTCCGCGCCGGAACAATGGATGCCGGCGGCCTTGATCCGCCCCGGATCCTCGAAGCGCTCAGCGGAGGGTCCTGCACAGGACCAGCGCCGGAGCGGTTTTGATGTGCGATCAGCGCGCTGGGATGGCGGAGAAGGACCGATGGGCGGCGGCGGGCGAAGGAGGGCACTGTCGCCGTCTGTTCCTCGGAAGAAGAACACGTGACCTCGCTCGAGGGCACGAGACCTAGATAGTTTCCGCACATTGCGCCGTTTTTTTTTCGCTGGTTAATTTTCGCCGGTCTGTGGTCACTATTTTTTTTCCTTCATCTCAGTTAATAAAGACGGTATGACGTGCGTGTGCGGGACTATATCGCGGGGTTTTATTTGGTTTTCCACGGTTTAGAGGGAGGTGGGAAGAAGTATCATAGAAGTACCCAAAAAGGCCGGTTGAGGTGGGACGAAAATAAAACCCGAAACGCGATCTATCAACTGAGACATTAGGAGTAGAGAAAAATAAAATCACCACAACAAAATACAATTGTTTTTCCCTTCCAAATATACGTCGTCACTCAACTTGGAGAAAGGGGAAGAGAAGTAGAGGAGGAGGAGGAGAGGACTGAGGAGGACGAATTCGAGACTTGGCCATTTGGTATATTCCCATCTTCCCCTTCCCCGCTAGCTGGGTGCTTTCCGTTTAACTAATGGAGTTTGCTTTGGTCCAAGGGTTTGGCACATGTTCCTTCCCCTAAGGTCCAATCTTGCCGTCCGGCGATTTTTCTTTGGATTTCTTTGGTGAAACCCTCGGTGGATGGTCGCTTGGGAGCCAGGCATTTGATTTGATCTTAAGTGGTCCAGGTACGCGTCTGGCGTTATTCCGCTGCTTTCTTCCGCCTTCTTCTCTCATGGATTCTTGAATCTGTCAGTTTCAGGCGATTGGAGGAGCTGCTGGCTGCTGCTGTTCCTGGGGCGTGGATTTTCTTGAGGTAGGTGGTGTTTCTGGTTCTGCTTGATCTTTTGTATGCGGCGGACCTGGTCCTTTTTTTTTCAGTTTCTGAATAATTGATGGAGAAAATGTGAGGGGAAATTGGCAAAAAACAATTTAGTGTTTGATTAAGGCTGTATGGAAGAAGAATATAGCTGTTAACCAGAGTACTTCTTTACTACACTAGAACATCGAACTTCAAAGAGCTTATAATTGGTGTTTGGATAATATAATTAGACGAATAGACCGTCAGAAGATGCCACAGCCTCGAATATACCTAAATCTGGAAAAAGGTTTTGGTTAGTTTGGAGGTCTGTTGTCATGATTTACAAGTTTTTAGTAAAAGATGAACTCAGTTTGGGGTTCTTCATCTATTCTCAGTTAGATGTGGAGAATGCTCATGCCGATGAAAGACTGGACTCACCCGTCTTTTGTTCCTGTGCTTTGTTCATCATTTAATTGAATTATCATTATTTGATTTGCTTTCTAAATCACCTCGGGAGTCGGGAGATACAGATCGGCCTGATGTTGGTAGTATGCTATCATGAAAATCTTTACATGTCTTCGCTGAACACCTCTTTACATTTCCCCATGTGATTACCTTGAGCCCATGATGTTCTTTAGTCAGAAGTATTTTTATGTGTAAATGATTGTATACTCTGCTCAAATGATTAAACGGAATGATTCACAAGTACTACCTCTGTTTCTAAATATAAGACGTTTTGGCAGTTTAGATCGAACTGCCAAAACGTCTTATATTCAGGAGCATAGGGTGTAGTTCCTCTTTAAGTATATTATAAGCATTCTGTTTTAAGTTGCTAGAGAATGTTGTTCATCCATACGGTTTCAAACTGGCCTCCATTTGTTACAAGTTTTGAGCATGAAACTGAACCTGTATATATATATATGTATTGGTTTTTTTAAAATGATATATATGTATTGGTGAGCAATCCACTAAGGACATTCTACAATGATGATGTAATCCTTTCTCTGTTTCTGAGCAGAACATGCATAGTAACTGTGATGCCAGGGCTCACATCTATACACGGACTTGCAGGTCCCCATGTCAAATTATACAGTTAGGTTGAATTCCCATTAGAAACTGGTAGGATGGGATATAGGCCTCTGAGAATCTTTCAGAGAAACATCTTTTGTGATATACTAGCTATTCGTTCCTGCTTATCTGACAAGTGACAACTATGTATCATTATGCCAGTCAAACTGCTAAAATTACTGAAGTATTGTTTTTCTCGTATTATGGTGACTGTACACAACTTAACCGGAGACAGTAAATAAATGCAGATTGAGCTCCCTGTTATAGATCAGTTGAATTGACCACAGCAAATATATGTTGATTGTTATTAATGTTAGTCAATTCTGTATAGAGCTTCTTGCTTGAAGAGAGCTAAATATAGCTAATTGGCATCTGTTGTTCATCTTCTTTCAGGTGCAGTGAATCTGTCCTGCTGTCATATGTTTTAAAAAACAATGCAAATTGCCTGGCCTTGGATCAAGTCCATTTTCCTATAGAGATCGTCATCTGTCTTAAGTCAAAGCAGCTGTATTTCTGGCAAGCACAACTAGCTAGTTTCATATGCAGCGTTCAGTTGATGGCTGCTCATCCTGTTGAATCAGAAGCAAGCATTGAAACAGATAATCACCCTTTACTGATAGACCACATGGAAACTACTGCTCATCTCGAGATTGCAATTGACAGCCCAAGGGATGATGTTGCTTCATCGTCAACCGCTCGTCGGGAGGATAATGATGGCTTGGATCGATTGCCTCATATCTCAGAAGGTTCTTCGGAGACAACTACTGCATCTAACTCTCAAAGTGCTCCTCTAGCAGGAAGAGATGCTAATCGTGCTCGTCGTCGGCAAAGTCCGTTGAATTCTAGTTGCTGGATCTCCATTGAGCTTGTTGTAACAGTTAGCCAGATTATAGCGGCCATTTGTGTTCTGTCATTGTCAAGGAAGGAACATCCACATTCTCCATTGTTTGAGTGGGTCATTGGTTATACGGTAGGTTGTGTTGCCACTCTTCCTCTTCTCTACTGGCGCTATCTCCATCGCAACCGCCCAACAACTGGGCAAGAACCAGCAAGTCAGAACTTCCCTCCGAACAGCATACCTGAGTCCAATTCTCACACAACAAATTCGGCCCCTGGCATGTCTGAAGCTGGTTTTGTAACTGACACAAATGGAGTCCCGCAAAACAACATGCTTACCAGAAATCCCAGGTAACATTGTCTTCAGTTCCATGATTACTTCTGTCCCTTTTAAATTTATATGCCTGTAGTCTAATTCATCTACTGTCTCTCTCTGTAAGACGTGTAGAAATTGTGTTAAACCTCTATTTGTCACCTTTCTGTGCTATTATGACCGCACAGTACGATAACATAAATGGGGTAATGTGAACACAATCTGATCACAAAAATATACATGACTATTATTCTGCCAACGTTTTGTTAAAGTAAAGCTATCGTCCTGTGTGGAGGGCATTAGTATTCTCAGCACTTCTTTGGCTAGCTTTCTTTAGAGTGCAGCCTCTGAGTTGCTATGTTTAAAGTTTTAAACTGAGGTGCACCCGGACTCTTTCTTATAGGGCCCAAGCTTATGCCGATCACTTCAGGATGGCCCTTGATTGTTTCTTCGCTGTGTGGTTTGTTGTGGGGAATGTGTGGGTATTTGGTGGACATTCCTCTGCCCATGACGCTCCCAACTTATACAGGTGAGCTGCTAGCTTCCCGTGCTGCAGTATCTCTGCAACTCATTTATGTGTTTCATAAGTGTAAATCTTTTCTTTTTCAGGTTGTGTATAGCCTTCCTCACATTTAGCTGCATCGGCTATGCTATGCCTTTCATTCTGTGCGCATTGATATGTTGCTGCCTTCCCTGCATAATCTCCCTAATGAGCTTTCGTGAAGATCTAAACCAAAACAAAGGTGCTACTGCAGAAGCAATCAATGCCTTGAGAACATACAAGTTGAAAACGAAGAAGTCCCGTAACGGCGAGGGGATTGAAGTCGGCGGCGGAGTTGTTGCTGCTGGAACAAACAAGGAGCGGTTTGTTTCTGCTGAAGATGCTGTGAGTTTTTTTCCCACACTCCTATCTACTCCCTCATTCACTATTACAACTTACAAGATGTTTTGGATATTTCAATATAGACTGAAATGAGTAGAACACAGTAAAACGTGTCTACCTATTACTCTTGATTTAAAGCCTGAGGTGTGTCCTTTGATATGCAGATTTGCTGTATCTGCCTAGCAAGATACTCGAACAATGATGATCTCCGAGAGCTTCCTTGCACCCACTTCTTCCACAAAGAATGCGTAGACAAATGGCTCAAGATAAACGCGCTGTGCCCCCTCTGCAAAGCTGAGATAGACAGTGGCCCGACAATTGCTCCTGCCATTGGCTTTGGGCGTTGCCACAGTGACAACAGGGTAGGAAATGACATCGAATCGCAGCTGTAACTCTGCATTATCCATTGAGGGTGCAACATGTCCCTGATGTGGCTTCCACAGAGCAATTTGTAAATTATAAAGTGAAATAGTGGACACAATGTACGGGCCCTTATATTATCGAACTGGTTCTTCGCTGTCTGATTACTGTCTCATTGTGAAAATATCTTCCGAAGATGGTAATTCAGGTTACCGGACATGAACCGAGAGCCTTTGCTGGTTACCTTTGTTGGTTACTGATGGCAATCCTCCCGCTTTTAGCAGACTGGCTAGAGATGGTTAATAGCCATTTGTTTTTCCTTTATCTAAATACCAGATGCTGATCAGAGCCCATAATAGACAGAAGAAGTTTGCTAAGTTTGACTCTTGCAGATTACTTTACTGTACTATTTATGTTGCTACGTACAATGTATTTTATGGTTTCTGGAAGGAGATGGCAACATGATCGATGGCTGCAATCCAAAGTTGATTGATAGTGCTGGCGAAAACAGCATCAAGAGAAGATGGCCGATCATTCCCTGAACTGTTACTTCTGCTGTTGTTCTCCTTGATGGTGCTAAGCACAGAATAACCTCTGGCGTTCCCACATCATGCAGTACCCAGACCACGCCAGGAAAGGTGGCCATCTTTCTAGAGAAGTATAGCTCTCCTTCTATTTGCGGATGACTCGTTTATACTCCTTCCGTTCTAAAATAGATGACCCAACTTTGTACTAACTTCCACAGAGCAATTTAAAATATTTGTCCGTTCTAAAATAGATGACCCAACTTTGTACTAACTTCCACAGAGCAATTTAAAATATTTGTCTGCTGATGAAAAGAATGCATTATGACTTTAGAACAATCCTTGATGAATATTATACGAGCTCGGGTCAGATGGTGAGTGAAGAGAAATGTAGCATCTTTGTCAGTCCCAATACTGATGTTCATTCAAGGGTACAAGTGTGTAAATCGCTAAATATGATGACAGAGTCCCTAAATGACAAGTGCTTGGGCTTTTGCCTGCAATGGTGGGAGTAGACCGTTGAGGTTGTTTCCGCATCTTATTGACGGAGGTGGAAGGAGAAATGCTATCAACAGGAGGAAAGTAATTGTTGCTTTGCTTTAGAGTTATGGGTCAACCCATACGCGTGTTTGCAATGTCAGTGTTCAAAATCCCCAAAAAACACTGTTTTGTTGCGCTGGTCCCATGAAGTCTTAGCACGACGATTTTCCGAACCCCGTGGCGAACGAATCGTTCGATGGGAGCAGTTCCCACGCAATCAATCACCGGCTATTGGTGTCCTATAGAAGTATTCATTGGGTAGCATGGTGAAAATTATGTGTCCCTAAGCTTATGGGTGCAATGGGATTTAGAGACCTAGAATATTTTAACCTGGCCATGTTAGCCAAACAATAATGGGGATTGATGGAGGAACCAAACTCTGTGTGTTTCTGCTATAAGAGCGAATATTTTCTGGAAGGAAATCTGCTTAATGCAAAAGCAAAGAAGGGTTAATCAATGACGCGACAATTATTATGGCAGGATTGGAAACCTTTAAAAGATGATAGGTTTGTCGGATAGGAGATGGATCCCAAGTGAATATATGGGAGGACAATTGGGTTATTTTGAGTCCAAATTTAAGGGTGAGAACACCCCCAGAAGGTTTAATGCTGAATAAAGTTTCAAATCTCATTAATCCAGAGACGAGTACATGGGACGAGGAGTTGATTCACTCTGTATTTTGGCCGGTTCACGCAGAAACTATACTATCTATCCACCTTGTTAGGTCATCTCCAATGCTGACCCATAAATTGGACACCGCATCCGTCGCGGACAGGAGGCCAGCCCGCGGACAGCGGATGCGGGAGCCGGTCATTCAATGCTATCCGCATATATTTTGAAACAAGTTTGAACAAATCAGACGAAATTCATCAAACAAGTCAGATTTCGTTAAAGTTCGGACATAATTTACATAAAAGGTTGATATTTCGGTCGTTTAACTAAAACTAGAAAAAAAAGGCAAACCTATACCGGATGACCACTTCGTACGCGTGGCCGCCCAGCCTTGCCGCACTGTCGTCACCGTCCGTGCCTTCATCGTCGTCGTTCCAGCGGCAGAAGGGCACCGGAGGGCCGCGATAGCCTTGACCAGCTGTTGTCGACCGCTCACGGAGGAGCCGCTAGGCCTCCTCCTGCGTGGTGCGAAGGGCCGCTGCGGCTAATGCAGATGGCGCTTGCGGAGATCCGACGGTGGCCTTGCCCTTGCCAGGGTTGGCGGAGGAGTCGCTCAGCGACCACTCCTCGCCGATCTTAGTGAGCTCGCCGTCAAGGCGGTGGCGGCGCATGGCGGTCGTCTTTGCGGTGGTGACGGAGCGGTCAAGGGCCCGCTCTGAAGGAAATATGCCCTAGAGGCAATAATAAAGTTATTATTTATTTTCTTATTTCATGATAAATGTTTATTATTCATGCTAGAATTGTATTAAACGAGAACTTAGTACATGTGTGAATACATAGACAAATAGAGTGTCACTAGTATGCCTCTACTTGACTAGCTCGTTAATCAAAGATGGTTAAGTTTCCTAGCCATAGACATGAGTTGTCATTTGATAAACGGGATCACATCATTAGGGAATGATGTGATTGACTTGACCCATTCCGTTAGCTTAACACTTGATCGTTTAGTTTGTTGCTATTGCTTTCTTCATGACTTATACATGTTCTTATGACTATGAGATTATGCAACTCCCGAATACCAGAGGAACACTTTGTGTGCTACCAAACGTCATAACGTAACTGTGTGATTATAAAGGTGCTCTACAGGTGTCTCCGATGGTGTTTGTTGAGTTGGCATAGATCGAGATTAGGATTTGTCACTCCGATTGTCGGAGAGGTATCTTTGGGCCCTCTCGGTAGTGCACATCACTATAAGCCTTGCAAGCAATGCGACTAGTGAGTTAGTTACGGGGAACGAGTAAAGAGACTTGCCGGTAACGAGATTGAACTAGCTATTGAGATACCGACGATCGAATCTCGGCCAAGTAACATACCGATGACAAAGGGAACAACATATGTTGTTATGCGATTTGATCGATAAAGATCTTCGTAGAATATGTGGGAGCCAATATGAGCATCCAGGTTCCGCTATTGTTTATTGATCGGAGATATGTCTCGGTCATGTCTACATAGTTCTCGAACCCGTAGGGTCTGCACGCTTAACATTCGGTGACGATCGGTATTATGAGTTTATGTGTTTTGATGTACCGAAGATTGTTCGGAGTCCCGGATGAGATCAGGGACATGACGAGGAGTCTCGAAATGTTCAAGACATAAAGATCGATATATTGGAAGGCTATATTCGGACGTCGGAAAGGTTCTGAGTGGGTCGGGTATTTATCGGAGTACTGGAGAGTTACGGGAATTCGCCGGAGAGTATATGGGCCTTATTGGGCTTTAAGGGAGAGAGAGAGGGGCTGCCTAGGGCAGGCCGCCCCCCAAGGCCTAGTCCGAATTGGACTAAGGGGAGGGACGGCGCCCCCTCCTTCCTTCTCTTCTCTCTTCCCCTTCCTTCTCTCCTACTCCAACTACATGGAGGGGGGGGGGGATCCTACTCCCGGTGGGAGTAGGACTCCCCAGGGCGCGCCATAGTAGAGGGCCGACCCTCCCCCTCCTCCATTCCTTTATATACAGGGGAGGGGGGCACCCCATGGACACACAAGTTGATCATTGATCTCTTAGCCATGTGCGGTGCCCCCCCTCCACCATAATCCACCTCGGTCATATTGTTGTGGTGCTTAGGCGAAGCCCTGCGTCGATAGCATCATCATCACCATCATCACGCCGTCGTACTGACGAAACTCTCCCTCGACACTTTGCTGGATCGGAGTTCATGGGACGTCACCGAGCTGAATGTGTGCAGATGGCGGAGGTGCCATACGTTCGGTACTAGGATCGGTCGATCGTATAGACGTACGACTACATCAACCGCGTTGTCGTAACGCTTCCGCTTTCGGTCTACGAGGGTACGTGGACAACACTCTCCCCTTTCGTTGCTATGCATCACCATGATCTTGCGTGTGCGTAGGATTTTTTTTGAAATTACTACGTTCCCCAATAGCGGCATCCGAGCCAGGTTTATGCGTAGATGTTATATGCACGAGTAGAACACAAGTGAGTTGTGGCCAATAATAGTCATACTGCTTACCAGCATGTCATACTTTGATTCGGCGGTATTGTTAGATGAAGCGGCCCGGACCGACATTACGCGTACGCTTACGCGAGACTGGTTCTACCGACATGCTTCGCACACAGGTGGCTGGCGGGTGTCAGTTTCTCCAACTTTAGTTGAATCGAGTGTGGCTACGCCCGGTCCTTGTTGAAGGTTAAAACAACACATACTTGACGAAAAATCGTTGTGGTTTTGATGCGTAGGTAAGAACGGTTCTTTCTCAGCCCGTAGCAGCCACGTAAAACTTGCAACAACAAAGCAGAGGACGTCTAACTTGGTTTTGCAGGGCATGTTGTGATGTGATATGGTCAAGACATGATGCTAAATTTTATTGTATGAGATGATCATGTTTTGTAACAGAGTTATCGGCAACTGGCAGGAGCCATATGGTTGTCGCTTTATTGTATGCAATGCAATCGCTGTGTAATTGTTTTTACTTCATCACTAAGCGGTAGCGATAGTCGTAGAAACAATAGTTGGCGAGACAACAAAGATGCTACGATGGAGATCAAGGTGTCGCGCCGATGACGATGGTGATCATGACGGTGCTTTGGAGATGGAGATCAAAGGCACACGATGATGATGGCCATATCATATCACTTATGTTGATTGCATGTGATGTTTATCTTTTATGCATCTTATTTTGCTTAGTTCGATGGTAGCATTATAAGATGATCCCTTACTAAATTTCAAGGTATAAGTGTTCTCCCTGAGTATGCACCGTTGATACAGTTCTTCGTGTCGAGACACCACATGATGATCGGGTGTGATAAGCTCTACGTTCACATACAACAGGTGCAAGCCA